GAACAGCCCGGCTCCTCGGGGGAGTCTCGGCCCTTCTGGGGTTCGGGGGTGTCGGGGTTGGGGTGCGGGTCGAGTCCCTGGATCTCCGAGGCCGCCCACTTGAGTGGTCAGTGGTCAGCCGCTTGCTCCTGAGCTGCCTGCGGTTCCGGATGAATGCGTGAGAGGGGAGGGTTTGATTCTGGTGCTACGCTGTGGGGTGGGGGGCAGGCCTCGTCCCCCCAGCTGGCGTCGGTGCCCTGTCCCCTGTCGCCCCCCCCCCGGCCACCACTGATTATCAGTCGGGAAATAAAGGTGGTTTGTTGTCATTTCTGTCGCAGTGCTCTGTTGAACCTCCAGGGGGCGGTGTTGTGTGAAATACAGTCCTATTTGAAGCCTTCTCTGGCCTTGTGGCCCTATGGCACCTACAGTGCGCCCTCTGCTGGTAGAATAGTGCAGCAGAAAATTGTTTTTGACGCCTGATTTTTCACATTTGTTTTCAAGTTCTTTTTCGACCTTGAAAATGCTACTTTCTCTTTCCAGTAATTTGCCATCAGTTAGCAGAGCCGCAGTCTTTCTTTTTTTAACAGCCAGTCAAGGAAAATACGCGGCGTTGATCACCTGGACGTGTAGCTTGAAGGTTACGGGTTCGAATCCCAGGTGTGACAGAGACCCTGCTTGAGCAGGACCTTTCACCCAGATTGCTCATGGGTAAAAGCATCAGTCAAATAAAATAGCCACCGGAATAATCATCTAATTCTCTCTGAATCTCTCCATTGCTCTTATTATCATTGCTGTCCAGTGAGAGGTGACCCCCAGGGTCCCATGTGAGTGGGACACAAATCTCCCTGCACCCCAGGGCTCAGTGTCCCCTCTCTGTCCAGTGGTAGGTGACCCCTCAGGGTGCCTCGAGGGGACCCCAATCTCATTGCTCCTCAGGGCTCAGTGTGCCCTGTCTCTGTCCAGTGAGGATGTCCCTGCTCCCCCGCAGGTGCCTGGACAGGCCTCCCTTATCGAAGTCCTGCCCGGCTGAGTCTCTGAGCAGAGCAGGGAGACGGCCCAGTCCACAGGTGCCGTCCCGCTCCTCCCAGACTGGCACTGCGGGTGCTCTGCCCCCGCCAGCTGGTGGGGCCTGTCCACTCCCGTCCTGTCCTGTCCTGTCCGTCCCCCGGTTGGTCTGTCCCCGTGTGTCGGGATGCTGCGGAGGGATGGGAGGGAGGGTGGGGTGCGTGCAGCGGAGAACCCCCCCCCGAAGGTTGGGGCGCAGTGTGGTGGTGATGGGTAACTGCGGGACTAAGCCGGTGTCTGTGGAGGTTTTGGGAAGTGGAGGAGAGCAGGGGGGGGACACGGTCTAAACTGTCAATAATTCTTTTTTGAGGAACCCGTATGAGGGAGAGAACAAAGATCTCGATGACGGGAGCAGGTGAGATTGCGGGGTCAAGAGACTCTCTGTAGACACCCCTTTCCTTTCCCCCTCCGATCGCTCCTGTGATTGGGCCCCAATCGCTGGGCTCCGGGTGCCCTGATCCGAATCATGTTTCCCTGGGACTCAGGAAAGCCGCCTTCTCCGTTCTGGATAAATTCGGGACTTGTCTGTCTCTCTCTCCCACCCACCCACCCCCCTCTCCGGTGGCCTGCTAGGTTTTCCAGCTTTGAGTTTCAGTGATTCAGATCACCTGGGTTTCAAATTGCTGGCGAGTGCTTGACTGAGTTCAGCGTCCAGCACGGCACAGACTGAGGGTCTGAGGCAGGGTTCTGACTGTACAGCAGGACTCCACAGTGTGATATCGCACTGCAGTTCAGTTTTGTGTCTGACACTGAATTTTACAGCGCTGTGCTGTGTAATACTGCACTGCATTCTGTTCCACTGAACTCTGCTGAACTGTATTACACTGTACAGTGTCGGACTGCAGTGAGCTCTGCTGTGCTCTCACACCGTACAGCGTCAGACTGCAGTGAGCTCTGCTGTGCTCTCACACTGTACAGCGTTAGACTGCAGTGAGCTCTGCTGTGCTCTCACACTGTACAGTGT